ATATTTCGGTCATCATCATCACCATCTCATCACCGCCGTTCGCCGCCGTGATCCACCGCCGGAAAACACCCATCGCCGTCGAAAGCCGTCTGTGACCAACCGATCGCAATCGCGAGTCACCACCCGCAGTCCTGCCCATCCAGTCACAGTCCCAGCTGTAACACCCCTCCTTATCGTTAAATCAGAGTGCGGATAATTCCCAAAGTTATTTAAAAATAAAGCCTTTTTCTTTGAGAAAACTGATTCGGGGTGCTACCTTAAAATCGTGACTTAATTTGGAAAACCATTTTTTTAATTTTAATAAAATCATCTGGTTACTGAAAACATAAGTTTCTCAAAAGGTCATCAAAAGGTAAGTTCGTCAAAATATGAGTACGTCACACGTCATCAAAACATCGTCAAAAGTCATCAAAAAACATCATTAGCGGAAGCGTAAGTCATCATCATAAATATACAGTCAAAAACACAAATGTCCTGAAGCGTCACGTCACGCTCCCGGCCCGACATCCTGACCTGAAAAACATGATAAAAGTGGGAAATGAGCACTATGGCACTGTGCTCCGTGGAAACTCATACTAATGTAAATCATTGAAAATAATAACAACATCATGATATCAGTATATACATAATCTCAACCTCAACCTCAAGTCGGTAATAACATGAACATGAATCTGAAATCGTCACGCAAACGTGACCCTGACCGTTACCTCATCTGCCGGCAAAAACTAATGCCGGACACCATGTGCACACTCTAGTGGGCAGACTAGGGCCACTAGAACCCAGAATGGACCGGCGACCATTCCGAGCGGATACCTCAACTGAAATACATACCTCAAACATGGTACCGTAATTATAATCAATGTAGTAGTTAGTCTGAGTCCCCACCTGAACTGCTGAACTGAACGGTAGTGCTGATGCCTAATCAAACTAAAAATAATATAAACAATTACTAATGACTATGCTCAGACTGTTAACTTAACTGATTAATTTCGTTAAGATGCTCTACTTAACCTGACATGATACTTAGACTTAACCAGAATAACCGGAACTGAACTGACATGAACTGATTGGACATGAATTTACTGAACTGGAATAATCCCAGAAATTTAACTGAAAATATCATTAAAATCATTAACCGGGCTGAAACCTTAACATAAGAACCGAACTGATTAATAAACGGGCAGAACCGGTCCAGCCGGTCTGAATCGGTCTGGACCGGACTGCGGTTCGATCGAACTGGCAGTCGGCTGGGCTCGGCCAGCAGCCTGCCGCGTGCTGCGCGCAGCGTGCACGGGTGCTGCTGGCTGACTGCGGGTGCTGGACAACCGTCCCAG